CGCCTGGCGGCGCTAGGCCAAGCCCCCGTTCCTCAGGGAGCTGCAATTAAGATCTAAAATGTAGGCCTGTGCTTTTCCCCAGCTGAGAACAAAATAAGAGGGTGAGACCTCTCAGACAAGGGGGTGGTGCTCCATTTTTTTTCCGAGCAAAAAGTCGCCTTAAGTTTTTGCTCTACTCTCCCTCTGAATTTTCAAGAGGAGATAACTGAAATATGCCCCAGAAAATAGCAACCAGGGCAGCTCTGAGGTGCTTAGATTAACTACATGAAAAGGACTGGTGTTTCAGAAATAGGCAACTGGCTACAAATAAAATCATCAAATTTTAGCGAGTTATTGAAAAGGAAAATACTTAAAGTTTGCTTGTCTCTACCTCAGGTAGCATAGACCAGCGGGCAGCCTTCCTTTGGTCATCGCTGCGCTCAGAGCTGTGCCCCTACAGCAATCCTGCAGTGGGAACACCCCCACTCACCTTAACTCGGTCTTGGGCACAAAGGTAGCTGGGTAAACATGCTGTAGATTAATATAAAGGTGCATATAGGTAGACAAATGGAACTACAGAAATCAGTGCTAACACTAATAGAGCTAAACCCCATTAAATCACAAAACTAACACCACTGGAGAAAGTTACATATGTATTCCAACAGAAATTTAACCCTTTATTGCACTTTGAACATATACATGACAGTTATTTCCCACAATTATCGATTATTTCAACACTGATGCTACACCTGTCAAGTACAATGTTGCTTGAAGATGCACCATTTCAGGCACTGATCCTGCAGTTCAAGTTAGATCTAAAAGTATTTACAAATTTATATTTTCTTGCATATTATTCTAATTACCATACATTTAAGAACATCATTGTTTATGCAATACAAAATCAGACAGTTGCATTGGGTTTTTTTTACAAACATTAACATTTTGATGATGATTTTCTGTATACATATGATTTGATATTTCAAAAGCTTTTGCGTTTTAATTTTTATTTTATCCAACTAGCAATTCCCATCCTGAAGTAAAAAAAAAACCAAACAGTAAAGCTTGAGCTTTAAAATGCTTTACCATATAATACAGAATCAAGATAAACTTTAAAAGCATATTTTGTAGCCTCCAGAGTTGCATTTCCTTCTATTTGAATAAGAATTGTTCGATAGTATTTTCAAAATGCACATGCAGAATGTAAGTGTGAATTAGTGACTAAAACTCTGCTCTACATTTTAAATATAAAAAAAATCTCAAAATCCTCAAGTCTTCCAAGCTCAAGACTGAACATCTTAATGAAAAAAGTCAAAGTTGCAGCACATGATGATTTAGACCTTAAGTATAAACTGATACCAATTTCTTCTCATAAACCAATACAAAATGCTAACAGCTTTTTCTAGTAACCATCCTTTGCCTGGGTGAAAGCAAGTCACAGAAATTTCTTATGTCTTATTTTTTCAAACATAGATGTAAAATACTTGAGGGTTTTATTTTTTTTTAATTATATGTGCTTTATTAAGGAGACCATACTAAAACCACTAACACTAATCTATTATTGTTTACTAGAAAATTATCACTCTAGAAAATAAATAGCTTATTTGATCTGCTAATTCCAATGGAAGTTTAGGGTTTGATGTAGAAACTGCAGGGTGAAGTTCTTTGGCCAAACACAGTCAAAGAGGACTGCAATAGTTCTCTTGTGGCCCTGACAAATCTAACAAAAGATGTAACTTCTATAAAAATAAATTTAATACACACCAGCTAATGTATATGCAATTATTCTCCTTATGTTACAGAAATACTGAAAGTAAGCAACTTCCCTAATTTCCAGATGTGCCTCAGGTTAAAGTTTATTTAAAATGAAAACTTCCTGATAATATTGCACTTCAGTGACCCGCTATAGCAATTAAAAACCTGATGGTCATTACAGCTACAGAAATTGCTCTTAGGGTTTCCAGACAAAAGAGACCTTTCTGTGTTTTGATGGATTGGAAGTCAGCTTATTCAATGGAATTTTAATGAACACTTAGAGTAAATTTAAGATTGGTCTATATACAGAAATGCTGAAAATGAGCAGAAGAAATGAAGTTCCTCTCCATAGTAGCATTTAGGAATACAACTTGAATATATCAAGGGTTATATGAGAATGTCTAGATAGAGCTGATCAAACCGACAAAGGAAAGACAACTTGTCCTGAATGTGTACGCATCAGTATTAGAAAATGGGAACAAGCTCTGTGTAAGAAAAAGCTTTTTGAGCAATATTAGAAACTAGAAGATTTTACAAATTCAATGTTTTGATATAGCATTGTATAGCAGAGAGTTTTAAAGTTAACGTAAGATTTCTCTTACAGCTAAATAAGTTAGTTCTACCTTTATATAAAACCTATCAACTGCTGGATTCAAAACTAATAAGCCATAAAAGGTGTGAACCCTATTTTTATCCGAAATACTTTCTGAAGCCTTATATTCACATTACCTTATTTCTTCTTTCTCCATTGAAGGTTTTAAGATGCAGTTTATTTAGTTCCAAGTTCTAAACCATTTCCCTCGCCACTGCAGAAACCAGAAGCCCAAGAATTGTCCTTTAAAATTATCCACACTCTCCTTGCTACTTCTATAAGTTCTGTACTTCCCATACAGAAAAATAACATAATATTACAGAAGACATTTATCTCTAGGCAAGAAGAAGGAATACTGCACTGGGTACACCACTCATTTTCAAAGTATAATACTCTATCTGCAGGAGACTCATTGCTATATTTTAAAAAGATGAACTTACAACATGAATCCATATTATGCAAATAAATTTGCAACAAACCACCTTCCTTTTAATGGTAACAGACCATTCTGAAGGGTAAGAATATAAAGTTATTGGCAGTATGACATTCAAAAATTACGCAAAGAAAACAAACATGGAATATTATTGGAGAAACAAAAAAAAACAGAAGAGAATGAGAAAATGCTTGGCATATAAACAAGCCAAATGACGTTCTCCCAGAGCTCACACATTTATTTTGAAGGTGACTTTAACATGCTTTTGGCTGAGAACCAGAAAACCACTGCTTTGATGAGATTAGATTGTTTTAGCTATTTGAAAGTAGTGAGAAATGCCTGATTTAAGCCTTGCGATAATTTACTTAGAGACTTTGAAATAAAAAAAAATTTAAAAAGTGGCATGCACACTTTTGTTACCCAGTGATAGAAATAAGTCTGTGTAAAAAAAAAATTAACAGCCCTCCCAAGATCAAGAAAGAAAGAGAAGTTGTAGTAGTTTAAGAAAGATTTCAAAATACCTGCCTATTGTTAAATGGACTGTGTAACTTAAATACCCATCTCCTCTTTGTCCAACCCTTTATAGCACGGTCTCAAATTTATTGAGTCTTGACTGCCACTTCCACAGTTCTTGAGTTGCAATATACTGCTGTGTAATTAGTATTTAGTAATACAATTTGTTAATTGTATGTGCAATGAACCACAAACCAGAACCTGAAACCAGATTAGTTTGTGGTTTTTTTTTTTAGAAGCACCTATCCATTTATAATTTACTGTGGATGTACTTTCTTTCTTGCCAAGGCATTCCAAAAGGAATCCTGCTTGTATTTTCAATTAAAAACAAGCTATGTTAACAAAAAAAGTGTATGATTACTTTTCAGTATTTTGAAGAATGTGGATATATATGGATATATACAGATATCTACATACGTGTATAGCACAACCTATGTTTGGGACATGGTATAGGTGGTTAAACTGATGAGGGGTGAAATAGTAATTTCAAAAGAGACCTGCATACATTTATAAAAAAATGTACTTAAACATCCTTTTAGTTTCATAGTTTTAGTATCAGTAACATTAAAGTATTACCATATAGGAATATCACTACTTATCTTTTATGGCTTCATGGTATTTGTACAAATACTGCAGAATTGAAATATATTTTATACAGTTGATGTTGGTCAGAATGCACCTACAACTGAACAGGAAGAGTTTGGACTAAAAGCTAGAGAAGCGCCAGACACTGACAAGCTTGATGGTAAACTGCCTTTAGTTTAACAAACAGTTTTAGTGCATATTCCTAGGAAAATACTGACTTCCATGGGAAACAAAGGAACATGTTCTAATGAGCAACAGATTCTTATACTTCCATACTCAACAACATTAAGTCTAATCCTTATATTTCATTTTGAAAGACCACTTATTGTTGTATATTTAAGATTTACTTCTAGTTTTTACTATTTGGGCTGTACGTATAACTAAAAACTAATGTATAACAGTAGAATGCAGAAACATGTGCAAATGTCAAAGATTTTAACAGAAACTCAAGTTTGACCAGATTTTGTTCTTGTGCCTTATTCTATTGCCTAGGTTTTCTCCAGACCTTAATTATATTTTAATGCACTAACCACAATGACCTTAAAACTCCAAATTTCTTAACTTTCATAGGTTTGTATGAATCATCAAAACATAAATGGAATCATCAATATGAAAACAATTACTGAAAAAACATACATGGAACAACTGAAGAACTGCAACACAGTTTTACTTGAGACAAAGCTCTACAGCAGTTATCTTCAAAATGTACCTGATTTGACTTTGATAAATAAGTTACTGAAGTGTGTAATACAATCAACATACTTACCTGTGGGAAATAGCTAGAATGTTAGAGAGTTAGGTAACATTTCATACCCGTCTACAGCACAAGTAGACATTCAAAGTACTTCTGCAAGAGATTGCTGACTCTTAAAGCCAACTTCAAACAGGAAGATGATTCAAAAGATGAAGTATATTTTGATTTGAAAATTGTTTTCCATCTTACAAGATTACTACTTTTAACATATCTTTGGGGGAGAAGTGGGAAAAGGCCAGGAGCATGCTGTCCAAAAATACAGTAGCGACTTGCAAGCAGACGTTCCTGTAGAAAATTGAAGTTTCCGACATCCACTTTAGTAGCAAAAATGTTTATTCTCTTTCAACTCTTAGTGTGTTTCTGATGGTGAACTCCATTTTATTTTTAAACTGCTCGTATGTCTTCGTTATAGGGAGCTCTAAGCAATTAAGGAGCCTGTTTCCAACAGGATACCTTATATGCAGAAATTTAACAGTTGGTTCAGGATCAAAACCAATAGGCGGTATAGAAAAAGAGCCTGTTACGAAAAGCAGAATATCCTCCAATGTCACTACAGACTCACCACCTAAAAAAAAAAAAAATAGGATTAGGTTGTATCTTTATCGCCTATTACCCGTAAACTGTCATCCCTCGTGTTAAGAGGAAAGAAACGCTGAAATCAGGAAACCCTAGATCAATATGCTCAATGAATATGCGATTACATGGCCAAATAAGAAAAATTTTAGCACGAAAAACCCAGTTGGGTTAGTTCTGAAAAATCTTAACTGAACAGAAAAAACCTCTTCTGCAAGAAGAAACCACTGTTTTCTATCTTTGACACACACACTAGCTAATAAGTTTACAGCAAAGCTGAAAAGAGGAGTAAAGGATTTTTCTGTACCACTCAGGTTGGTTTTTTGTGTTGTTTTTGGTGTTTTGTTTTTTAAAATCACAGTTCTAGTGCCAATCTTTCAGATACTTTCCCCTCTCATTACAATTTCAGAAACTGTAATTAGTAAGAAGGGGAAGAAGGAACTGACAGTGACTTTAAAACCTTCATTCATTTACCTCACCGAACTCTAAAATCCAAGCCCTGTATGTATACCAACAGTGAAATACCCTGAAAATGGGAAACAAAAAAAAAATAAATTACTTACTTTCCACATCTTGCAAATAACCTATCCAAAAATCAGCACCTTCAACTTTATTTACACCTGATGACGAGTGGATTGTAAAGAGATCGCAAATAGTTTCTGCTGAAAGTCTTTCAGGTTTGTGGCACAAGATACTAGAGAATGCATCTGGATGCATTTGCATTTTCTCTAGCACACCAAGAGTTTTCAAACCTTGCCTAAAGCTAGGAGGGGGGGAAAAGAAGAAAAAAAAAAAAAAAAAAAAAAGCAAGCATCAGGAAGCCAGTAGGTAACTAGTTGTATGCTGCATTGTATAAAGCTGTTAAAATTAGACATCATAAAGTTTCCCAATCTGCAGTCTCTGAAGTCTTGTCAATAAGGTGTACATAGTAGTCCCATTTTATTTTAATCTTGAAAAAGGCATTTAATTCTCATTTTAACTATCTAAGTGTTTACATGGAGCTTTTTGGGCAGGTGAAAGAAATACCAGTAATATGCAGAAGTTAACTTTATTTCCTGGTACTTGACCATACAAAAAAGCATGGTTTACTTTTAATTTTTATGTGAGAACATACTGAATTTTTTTTCTTACAAATATCCCTTTAAAAACAATTTAAATTCCTTGCCCTTAGGCAACATGAGGGGTCTTAAAAGACAGTCTGCATATGTTTACATACTATTGTTTCTCCCTGTGGCAAATGCAGATAACAGCATCCTGGTGCCAGCAAGTCAAGGGAGACGATCCTTTCTCTCTGCTCAGCACTGGTAAAGCCACAGTTGGAGTCCTGTGTCCAGTTCTGGGCTCCCCAGTACAAGAGATACGGACACACTGGAGGGAGCCCAGCAGAGGGCCACTAGGATGATGAAGGGACTGGAGCATAACCCTCTGAGGAAAGGCTGAGAGAGCTGGGACTGTTCAGCCTGGAGAAGAGAAGGCTCAGGTAGAATCTCAATGTATAGAAGTATCTGAACGGAGTGTGCAAAGAAGCAAGAGCCCGGCTCTTTTCAGGGGTGCCCAGAGGCAACAAAACACAGGAGGTTCCATCTGAACATCAGGAAACACTTTTTTGCTGTGAGGGTGACCGAGAACTGGCACAGGTTGCCCGCAGAGGTTGTAGAGTCTCCAGCCATTGAGATATTCAAAAGCTGTCTAGACATGGTCCTGGGCAGCTGGTTCTAGGTGGCCTGGTGTGAGCAGGGGTAGTGGACAAGATGACTTCCGGAAGTCCCTTCCAACCTACACAGCAATCTGATTCTGTGATTTAACTTTTTGTTTGTTTGTTTTAAAAATCAGCTCTGCAGGTTGAAAAAAATTCAGTAGTTACTGTGTACTGGATAAGAGCAGTACATGCTATTTCAAACAACTGGCTTTACAATTTAACCACCATGTTAAATCAGAATTAAAATTTTATTTAAGTTGCTTACTCATCATTTCCTAGATATCAATAGGCTAACTCAGTAAATTTCAGAACATGTTGAAAGTGTACAGTCAATGGTATAGAACATTAACAGCTAAAGTGATTAAGTCTTTACTTACTCTCAGTCCTTGGTATTGACAAGCAAATTCTTGCTCTACTCACTTTTGCACATTTTAAGCCCATCTCCAAAAATGCACAAACCCACATTTTCCCATAAACAGGCAGGTTACTTATTACCTTTGACTTTTTAACTGACTAGTTTTAACATACGATATAGATTGGTCAAATATGCCACAGAGGGCCTTGACTGAAAGACTAGTTACTCTCAACTTTGTTAAAAAAAAAATCCTCACACTCAAAATTAGGTTTTCATAGCTCTTGGAGATTCAGTTGATTCAAATTTGTCAAAGATAACACCATAGATGTGTTAAGTATAAATCCAACTATACTTGTTGGAAAAATTAGCATCCATTGCCTTTTTACTGAGCAGATGAAGAATGCAAATTGGAAGTAAGGTCAGAGACCAATCAAAAAATAGTCAACAGCTGCAACTTTCCCAGCTATTTGAAGTCATCACTACCTCATGGAAACACCAATGCAATGCTTACATTCTAAGTAGGCCAACTTACACTTGTGCACATTATCACTCTCCTAATGGCACAAACTCCCTAATTAGAACTCTGAAAAACTCATTTAAATTCTAAACATATGTTTAACACTTTAAATTTTAAAGATTCTAAATCTGAGGAATTCTGAATTAAAAATGAACATAAGAAATTTTGTAGTGCAGAGATCTTTGTCATGCTGTAGTTTACAACTGTGAATCTGCCCTCTTCATAGGGTTGAAAAAGGAATGTGACCAAGGAGAAGTGAAACAGAGTGGATATGTAGAGAAATAATTTCAGTCATGCAGTTTAACTAACTAGTTAACAGTTGCTACTTAATCCACTGAAAATTACAGTAGATTTCATTGGTTTAAATGGAGAATAAGTAAGAACATGTGAAAGCTAGTTTTAGCAACGTATTATTTAGTATTTCGGTGAGGAAAAAAAATACAGAAATTTTGAAAACTTGAAACAAACCTTTCTAAGGGTGAAATAATTCTCTTGATTACATGATGGGTCAATATGTCATTCACCAGCATATTCTTATCACACAAAGCTGTTATAGGTCTTAAACATCCAGCAGCAGCAAGGAATTCGTAACAGTCGTGTATTGTAGACTGTAGACTGGACAGACTATTTGCGTATTTTATCTGTATAAGATAAAAGTTAGGAATTTGTTTACTACATGCATATGTGTGTGTGTATATATATATAAAAAAATAAGCTTTTTCATTTGAACTAAAGTTATATTCAACAAGCCCTTCTTTATCTCCAAATAAAGTCTTGAACAAGAATTTGCCAGTAAGTTTATTTTTATTTACCATTTTTATTGTTTGTGCTACATCAACATCAGCAACATCTTCCAAAGCTGGCTTCACATTCTCTGGACCATAGACAAGACAATCGAACAGTGTTTTGGAAAAGAAACCAGGAGATGGACCACCATGAACCAGAGAAACTGCAATCATTTTACCAGCTTCAAAATAAAGATTCTCTCTTACAGCTGCAAATGAAAAAAAGATATTTACTATATATGCATAAAAATAATTTGTGATACTCAATTTTTAATAGAAAAATCTCATAATGCAATTGCTTCTTACTTTAGGAGATGCAACAAATGAGGTTTGCAATCTCCTGCTATTTGAAACAATACCACCGGTATTTTTACATAGGAGTACCATATTCTTTTACTCCAACTCTTCAGCCACCATCAAGGTTTGCAAGGAGATGTAACTTTCTCTTCCACTTTGTGCCCAATGCACATTTAATTCTGAAGCATAAGAACTCAAAGAAGCTAACTTTGGGTCTTTAGGGAGCATGCTATCGGAGATAATGTTCTAGAAATTTGAGGAAAGGAAAATAAGTAATAGAGAAAGTGAGTCAGGAAGAAAGAAATTAACTTCTAGAGAACAAATATATTAGAGTTCCAAGTCTAACTCTATGCTAGTTTTTTTTCCTTGGTTGTCATCAACTTTTCCAACTAAACATTTTTTTTTGTTATTACAAATCTGCAAGCCACTCTCATTTAGAACTGAAAAGCAAAAAAATTCAAAAAACAATTTCTATCCATCAGGACTGTAACTGTGAATGGACAATCACAGTGCCTGAAGATATAAAAACCTTTCAAGTTACGTAGTTCTTAACATATTTTTGTACAAAGCATTTAATTACCTTGAAAATCAAGGGACAAGTTCTTTGCAGAAGAGCCCTCAAACAGTGATGAATTCTGAAGGTGAAGCATTAATAATTGGAAGAAATGGTGTTTTGACGCAGCAAAAGTATCTGTCTTTGATCTATTTTTGCAGTTTGTGAACTTTATTTCAATGGTGTTTGTAGGACTGAATTTGCGCTGTCTAAATCCTTTTAAAGCACTATTCCAGATATTTTCTGCATTGATGTTAAGCCTTGTAGTTTTTGTATTAACTTGTAGCTTTAACTCCTTCAGTATATTAGAAACTTCTCTTCGTTGCTTTCTTAATTGCCTACAAGAAAATTGTATTTTCAGACAAAATCTATGAGTCATAATTAGCAAAAGTTATACAGGAAACATCCTAAAATCTATAAAGAAAAATACCTCTTTAAACACTTTGGTACATTTAGGTATTGTCTAAATTATATCAGTACAATATTTAGTGTAGATTCTTCAAATTTTAACTCTGTAGTGGCAAATTTTAAAGTACTTCTGAGAACTAGAAAAAAGGAGGTAGAAATAATTAGCTTGGCATAAAATGAATAATTATTTTCTTAATTACCCCAATATAGTGCCAAACAATTCTCACACCATCATTCTACATTTGAACAATGTGAAACAAGTAAGAAATTGAAGAGCTCACCATGTTTGTGTTAGAGATGTTTCGTGTTAGAATACATTCAACTATTCACTAATATTTAATCTTTGTCATTATAATAAAAAATTTTGAGTGGGGAGAAATGCTGCAGTTCTCATTTAAAAAATAAGACACCAGTCTAAAAAAATAAGACCTGTTTTTCAACTTGCAATCAAAACTATTTTGAATACCCTACCTACTAGAAGTAACTAATTCCCTTGTCAGAATTTTTAGCACATATTACAGATAGAATTAATAAATTAAGTACTCACAAGACCAAGAATTTTGTATCCTTAAATAGAATATTCTATAGTAAAACATGTTATTTTACCACTGATTTGGGCATAAGCACAAACTATTCCTATGGTACAAATGCAAAAACACTGAAAATTCAGGACATGTCTAATTTGAAGAAAGTAATTAGGATTTTTTTATGCCCCCTTTTCTAAAGAACAGCTAGCCATGCCTTCAGTAAGGACAAATACGTGGGTTTGGATTTTGATCCCCTCTCTACCTAACCTGAAGGTTCTCAATAGGTATAATTCTTTTCTCCTTACCCACCTCTAGCATTTAGAAACAGCAGAAGCCTTTATCAAGTTACGACTTCAGCTCTTCAGTGCACTAATTCCATTTTTCCATTGACTATATATACACACACACAAATAGCCCCACCATGTTCTGTAGAAAATATGGTATAAAGCCATGCACTAGATTACTCTTCAATGTAAGAAAAAGAGAAGAAAATACTTTTTCCTCAGGGACCAGTTCCTGTTTGACATCAGTGGAGATAAGGACATCGTCACTCTGTTGGATGCTGGTGTGAGCTGGTGTTCTAGGTGTGAGCAGGGTGACAAGTTGTTCTGGCACATCATCTTTGGTGATCTATAAAGACAAAACAGTATGTTAAGAGATACAATTGAAGAACGCATAAACACTTATTTGAAGGCAGCTATATAATTTCCCCCTATTTCAGAACTGAATCTCATTTGTATGTTCCTTTCCATTAAGTCCATCAGTGCCTGAACTACAATTTAAAAAAATAATTCAATATTTTATTATATGGTGGTTTTAGGATCCATTTTTGGTTGCATCCCATACACGAAATGGAAGTTCTGACTGACACAATAAGTAAGAACTAGAAATATGACTTTCTACAGACTTGGAAAGTTTTTATTACAACAGAGGAAACTATTATACATATAAACATCTCTGTAAGCTAGATTTTTAGCACACTTAACATAGAAAAAATACTGATAAGCAACCTTAGCTCTAAGTTTTGCCATTTGTACATTCAAAGTTACCGCTCAATTGTTAAGATTCCCTTTACAAGGATCTAATTTTATCAAACTAAAAACTGGTTTATGTGCCACCAAATGTGAGTAACTATAGCAAATTTACAGAGTTCACGGCTTACTCAGAAAACTTCAATCACTAAACTTCACTCCAATTTTATTCAATTTGCAATTTAGTGCAAGAAGTTTCTCCTACAGAATAAGCCATCATCTCCTCATGTTTAAATACTATTTTATGTTATAATCAGTTTCTGCTTGAAAACAGAAAATTACACACTGGAGAAGAAAATTGCGTTGAGATCCAGGTGACTGCCGAGGACACTTTGGAGATGGCTCTTCCAGCAAACAAGTTGTCCCATCTGTCTTTTCAGATGCAGCCAAAGAACGCTTTTTCTGTTTGCTATAGTTCCCTGTATGATTAAATTATATTAATTTAGTGAATTTGCTAGCTGTAAAATAGTATTGAAATTTATGATTTTAAGAAGTCATTGTCACATTTGTAGATTTACCTGATTTTGTGAAGATACTCCGGCATTCCACGCACTCCCAGTTTTGCTCCCATGACTTCATAGATGAACAGGCCAAATGAGTTCCACGGGAACCACAACACTGACAACGCTTTATTTCCCATTTACTAAAATCAAATACTTATGTATTTAGAATTAGAAGAATGAGGCTAGTTAAAACAAAGAATATTCAACAGTAAGTGTAATCCAGACACTAAACTAACAAAGCATAATTTTATCAATCCGGTAGGACTGTATATAATCAAGACGAACTTTCTTCACTCACAAGAAAGTGGCTGCAACAAGAAAAAAAGACCAAGCCACCCATGTTCCAGCACCTCGTATTGAAAGAGGCTATGAGTTAGTGCACTCCCCTGCTCAATAGCTTGCAGCCAGTACTTTCTCCTCATGTTGCTAGTCAGCAACATCCTCTATATTTTATGGGTATCCAGCATTCTTTTAAAGGAGCATATCTGATTATCCTTCGGCATTCTGAGTAAGACTCTTCATTAATGACAGTGTTTTAAGTATCTGTTAGGTTTTTGTCTAGATTTCTTCAATTTTGCTTAAACAAGGGAACAATGTGACTGGTATTAGTTCAAATATTGGAAGCCTGAGGTACAACCCTTAAAGGCAAAGTAAATTCCAAGGTGCACGCATACTATGAACAAACCAAGCAATGGTTGGTCAAATCTGTACAAAGCAAAGTTAATGTCTACAGAAACAAGTCTTCAAAGCAGAGGCTCTGACAGCTTTGAGTATACTCATGCCAGCGGAAGATATACAGTTCAGAAGCACACAAATAAGACAAGAAAGAATGCAGAAAATGAACTTGTTAAAAATTAAGCAAGTGGTAGAGCAGAATAAAACCTTTTACACGATCAGTCAAGCCTCTCATTAAGCCATCAGGAATATTTTAGCTGCCATTTGCATGCAGTGGGATAACTTGCAGCTAGATTGATGCTACACAGCTAATTAATTTTCAGCTAAGTCTAGTTCTTGATTTCTTGTAAAAGTATTAAGTACTCTAACAATTATTAAATTGTTGAATTAAGCTTTGAATGAAAGATATACAACACTAGTTTAGGCACATGCTATTCTACATGTTATATGGATGTAGAAATACTACTTCAGCTCTGTATCAAATGAGAACAAAGACAAGATAACTAATAATTGATTTGTTTGGTTTTCTTGGTTTTTATAACCTGATTAAATTAGACAAAAATAGTATTGAAACATTAGGATTATAAGGAGTAAAAAACCAATTTTATTTGGACATAGTGCCTTGTCCTGACATTAAAACCTGATGCTGGAAAGCGTTAAAGCATTTAAATAAAAAAACCACCAAAGAACTACTCCATCCTAGGTTATACCTTCCTGCAAAAGTGTCATACCTATCAGGTTCATTATAATCTCTTCCTTTCTTGCAGAGACATCTTTTAATGTCACAGTGTTGATAACATTGCAGTAGGTCTTGATATGCATTCTCTTCAAGTTCCCAAGATGCATCCCTATAAACAAGGCAGAAGATCTGTTATTACAACTGTATTTCTGATTGTTTAAATGGGTTAGTCTGGCTTTGGAAAAGATGTAATAACCACATAAAGATTTTTCAGTCATGTAATGTTCTAGGCAACAGCCTAACAACTGAGAGGGAGAAGAAAAAAGTCTAGGAACAAAAATACTATAAAATACACAGACTTCTTGTGTACAGTTACTTTAATCAAAGTACTTATTTTTTGCATGACTACAGTGCATGTTTGCTCTGTTTCGTATTATTCCGCTTTCTCTTTCACAGCGGACATGGATACTTGTTTTGGCAGTCTACTCAAGTTACCACTGAAAATGGTCTCAAAAAAACTAACTCAGAATTTTCCAGGCCAGTATGGCAAAGTTCATCAAGTATTTTGACTCTTCTTCCACTCCAAAGTCTTAAGCTTCTGTCTCTGGAGGGAATTAACGGTAGTCTCTGAAAAGACTAATAGTTATTAAAGAATAATAGTTCTAATAAAGTAACATCATCCTGATAACTTTCTGTCTTATTTTAAGCCCCATCAAATGGTGGAAATTTATGAAAAACAGCTCAGTGTTTTAGAAGCAGTTATACTAAACATATCCTTAGCAATCAATCCCTTGGGAGAAGATGGAAACTGTATGGCTGAGTAATCAGTCAATTATAATACTGTCTGGATGCAAATTCAGATAATTTAAAAACTTGGGCACAGAAAATACACTTCTCTGCAGCCTCTATGTTGATGTGAAATTATTGTATTTAAAAAGCGTTTTGATCTTTTAAATGGGTCCCTGGTTGAATCATGGCATTAAAAATTACTTTTCAGAGCTTCCTGCTTTATGTTTGAGATGACTAATTTGGCCTTTGACAATTTTTATGCATAAGTAAAAGGAAACAGGCTACTCCATATCAAACCAAACAATTCTACCATTGAAGGTAGAACTGAGGTTTCACATATTAATAGATACAGTTCTATAGAATAAATAAAAAAATGTTTTAACACACTATCAAAGTTTTAATAGAAGATTATTTACAAACTTACTTTTCTGGAATGTGTATGCCCATTCTCAACATTTCTTTCTGAAATTTGTCCTTGTTATTACATACTGTGCACCTAAAGAAAAATATCCCAGCACTCAAAGCTTGATACTGTGTCAAGAAAAAGAAACACAAGAAAAAACCAAACCAATTATTGAATTACTACCATCCTTAGGATGCCACTAAATAATGCTTTAATATCTATAACCATTAAATGCATGGATACTGTCCTGACATGGATGTTAAAGCTGACATAAATCATGATGTCACTTGACAATGAAGCAAGTGGCAAGCGTTTTCTCTTTCTTTAAAGGACAAGAGCTCACTTACCAGAATAAGGTTCATAAACAAAAGCACAATCCTTTTCAATCAATCTCTCCAGATCTAGAATGAGTTTACAAAAATACCCCCTTGTAACTGTTTCCAGCTGTGGACTTAGGCAAAGAGAACTGATGATGGATCAACAACTTTTTAGCATTTCGATTCTGCACATAATGACTTGCAAGAAGGCAACTACCTAGGCTGGACTTCAGTTCCTAAAAATAATTAAAGGCATGAGGTATCACACATGCAGTAACATGGGGGGTAGGGGGAGAGATTAACAGCATAAAAAAAGAAATCCTTCTTGTCAGACACTAGTCTCCAAAATACAATTTTATAGCATTGTCCTTCAAACCTAGTGTATTTCCATATGCACTGGTTATATTAACCCTAAGCAATTTTACACAATTGTAAGCAACTGTTCTGTTAATTTTTTAACACAACAGAAATGTGATCTCCGTGGATGCAAACAGAAAAGGGAGAACCTGTGTTACCTGCAAGCATTCTCGATGAAACCAAGCGTTTTTACAGCAAGGACTTTTCAATACAGTGTACATTGGAAGCTGTTCAACCAAATCCAGGCATATTGTACACTGTGAAGTTCCTCTACATTCTTTATCTGGAAACTTTTGGACTGGCTTATGCTCCCAACAGTAAGATCTAAAAATAATAATTTAAGGTTCCTTTATCATAACATTTTAAGAAACTTCCCCATAAAATTTGAAGATAGCAAAATGAATTCTCTATTATATCTGTTTATCATGAATAAATGCTGTGCAACAAGCTAAAAAGGCAGACACACACTGGTTTTGGCTGGGATAGAGTAAATTTTCTTCATAGTAGCTTGTATGGTGCTGTGTTTTGGATTTGTGCTGAAAACAGCCCTGATAATACAACGATGGCTTTTTATTGCTGAGCAGTGCTTACACAGAGTCAAGGCCTTTTCTGTTTCTCTCACTGCCCCAGCAGCGAGTAGGCTGGGAGTGCACAAGGAGTTGGGAGGGGACACAGCCGGGACAACTGACCCCAACTGACCAAAGGGATATTCCATACCATAATGTCAAACTCAGCAATAAAAATGGTGGAAAGAAGGGGGAAGGAGAGAAGTTTGGCATGATGGGATTTGTCTTCACAAGTAACTTCTATGCATGATGAAGCCCTGCTTTCCTGGACATAGCTAAACATCTGCCTGCTGATGGGAAATGGTGAATTAATTTCTTGTTTTGCTTTGCTTGCACATGTAGCTGTTGCTTTGCCTATTAAACTGTCTTTATCTCAACCCATGAGTTTTCTGACTTTAACCCTTCTCTCTCCCCATCCTGCTGGGGGTAGTGAGCAAGCGGCTGTGGGGTGCTCTTTTGCCTGTCAGGGTTAAACCATAACACACATGTAAACAAATTATGTATCTAACAGAGCAAGTCAATAGAACAACAGTAAGGAAGAAGAGTTGCCAACTGATGATCTGTAAATTACAGAAACCACATACCCCCTTTCTCTCAAAACTTCTTTAGGTCCAAATAACACTATTCCTGTCCTCAGAACCTCAAATTCTTCCTATATTTCAACATTACTATAATAAAGGAGCAATTTTGAGTTTGCACATTGATTCTGCAGAGTCCAGGTAGCATGATAAGTTTTATAATTTAGCACATTTTCAAATAAATAAGACAGTCAAGAAACACAGCTCTAGAAGAAACCTTTCTGAAAATGCAGTATTTTTATACATGCTTGACTTAATAGGAGTAATTTATTTAAGATGTTAAAGTGCCTGCCAGACTTCAATCCACTCAACCTACAAACTCGGCTCACAACAGGCAGAATAAAGCCGTTATCAAATGAACTCAAGAGTGTTTTGACTACAACCAAGATGCTGGACAGATGATAGTAAAAGAAAATAAAATGTTTTTTAAACATTTGATATTAAACCCATTTCTTCTGCAGTCCATCTCTAATAAGCAAACCTAGAAGTCTTGTGCTTTGAAACACAATGGAATGGCATACAGTGTGTTTTGACTGCCAAGCAAGATAGACAGCCAAACCATTGCCGTTTCAACAAAGGCACAAGAGATAGCTGTATAAATATAATGAATTGAAAATGAAAAAGCAACAAAACCCCAGAACTTACCTGAAGTCTTCCATGAACTGGAAAATACATTCCTTTTGTATCCCACAAGGAAAATGGTAACTTCGTTTGCATTTGGGATCCACACATCCTATTGAAGCACCCTTTTTCTTACAGATATTACATTTCTAGGAATAATTGGTTTTAGAAATAACAGAATATTAACATCTAAAGTCCAAGTAAAATTAGAGGAATTAAACCAACAGAAAAATTATGAAGTGTGTAAGAAAGAATATTGGCCAATAGATTTTAACTGTGACAATTTTAGCTCTATTTCAAAGAATAAAGAAATATAGTTATTTCAGACTTTGAGTATGTATTGTTTTATATGCATGTTGACTTGTGACACATAAGCCAAAATACAAGTTATTTTACCAGTACCTATAGTTTAGTTGCATCTATAAAATTATAAAATGTGAGCTTGAGACTCAGCATAATGTCATGAGGTATTATGCTCTTCGTCATTTATCTGCAACATACCAAGGAAATAAAAATATTGGCAAACTTCTGCAGATTTTGTTGTCTCTTATGGCTTCCACAAACCTAACATACTTTTTAAATGTAAAATTCAGATGCTTGAATGGTTTCAGCACGCTGCCCATTAGAGAAAGAGAACAAAACAAACCCCACAGGCGATACTAAGTGCACTTAAAAGTTACTTTTTTCCTTGTAAATACCAAAGACTTCATTCTTACCAGTTTTGAAGCTCTGTTTACTTCTTTTCTAATATCCGTGATTAAGAATCCATCTACACCTTCATCTTCTTCTCCTCTCTGCCAAATGCCACTTGACATCAACTATGAAAACAAATTAAGTATTTTAAAATATTCAACTACCTAAAGATTTAAAGTTATCTACACTGCGTTTGTCAAGACAGAAGTTTAGTCTAACAAAGCTTGTGTGCAAACATTTTAATGATTAAAAACCTGACCCAAAACAACTATGTATTTTTGTCTGATATGACACAAAAGGGAATAGTAACTGGTAACATGAAAATAAATATTTCATAATATCAAAGTCTTATGTAATACTGTAGAGCACAAGATGGTGTATTTTACCTTCCTTTTTGAAGTATACAGACTATTCAGATAATTGTCAAACAATTACTTTCAGCATATAAAGCTTCAGAGGAAGTAAAATTAGTTTATTTAATATGAATGACAATTGTGCTGTGGAGATAATGAAGCACAGTAGGAAGTATCTGTACTGAAGTGCAACCTAAGAGGAAAAGTAATTCACTTTAGAGAAGAATTAAATAAAAACAGAATCCAGTAACTAGGCAAGTCAGAAGATCCTGATGATAATTTAAAGTTACTAAGGCAGGCAGTTACATCACAAACTTCAAATAACTAGTTTCACAACTTGATGCGTCCTATGTTCTTTACAATCTCATTTTATAGTTCTCATTTTATAATTTCAACACAGTACTATTTTCTAACTATAGTTTTATCAATATTTTAGTCAAATAAATGTGAAGTTTTATACCAAAACCAATTAGGAATATTTTTTTTCCAAATATGAGACATTTCATGAAAAGAAGAATGAAACTGCACCACTAACTGGCATCTTTTTAGAAGAACTCTTTTCTTATATCATATTCACTATATTTAAGTAAAATCATGGCGTTTTGTTTGTTTGTTTTTGAAAAGAAGCAGAGACCAAAACCTAAAAGATGACTGCAGGAAGCTCATGACAGTAAAATATCTCATAAATCATAAGGCTCAGTGTTGCAAGCATGCCCTTTTCTAGCTGTTTTGCTCCATCAGGAAAGGACTTTTTCCTATCATTTCATATGGCCTTATGCATGAGACAGAATTATCACAAACAGACCTAAATTTGATTCTAGCTGCTTAAAATTTAAGAAAAAAAATTCTGCCTTTATGTAACTTCAGAAAACCTCCAATGCCTTATCTTTAAAGGATTCAATATCCAACCTATTAAGCCATCTGCAATCAATACAATCTTTAAAGAACTGGTTGAGAACACACACACATATCCCAAATTGTTCCTGATATTCTTGAGACTGTTTTTTTTTGTAAACTTGGGGAAAAAATTCAAACTGTATTTATTAAACAAAAAAAAACTTGATTTTTTTAATTACTTGTATTATTTTAAAGATCTGCAACAATTAAGAGTTTGAAAGGTACTTTAAATATACCTTTAAGAGTATGAATTTTGGAAAATGCCAAGTGTGGTAACAAAAGATACTCAACTGTAGTTTATATCCATAGCTTGGTTCAATTTATAAGCTTTTAATAAATAGTGATACTGTGGCTATATATGAACATTAGGGTACATAAAAAACAGTCCTACTTTTCAGATTAGTAATTAAGTGTTACAATGTCCTATGTAATTTCAGGGAATAACTCACTGCCAAAGAAGAACTAATGTGAAATGAGAAAAAAAGACAACTTTTATCTACTTTTTCCACAAGGGGTGGAATTTTCACATTCCAAATTTTGAAACTGCACTTCTCCTACAGAAGTGAATATGTAGGTGCAATCTGTTCCCTTTCTCTTAACATGTACCTATGTTGCTATGATAGGTTGGGAAAATTAACTAATTAATTTAAATGAATCATGAACAGAATTTAGCTTTGAATAAAGGCCTGTTGGGATTTATTTATGTCATCTGCTGCACCTGACAAGTACAAGCCTTCAATGCTACAAGTTAAAGCTGACAGTTCAAGCGTTACAACAACAAAACTGTTACAACTGTTTGGACAGCTTGTTACTATTCAATACTTGTTGCATTTACTTTCCCCCAGTTAAAACTGACAAGCTCCAAGATCAATACCACATACTTACCAAACAGTAATAATGAACAGTGAGATTGTATTCCACATAGGTCCTTTTTTCTCCATACTTTTCAGGGCAGTCATCGGTCCGCCCACAGAGAACACAGACTAAAATACAGAATCATGTTTATAATCACAGTGAATGTACTGGAATTACTATGGATCAGCTGTAGAGCAGTACTTTCACCTCTTTTAATCACATACATCTTGAAGTAGATTACTGGATAAAGGACAGTAGATACCCTTCTCTCAACGTTGAATTCCATAGTAAATACAGAAGAAGGTACTATTTGTTCCTTCTCTAGTTCCTAAAAAGAAAATACTTCAGTGGTTCCACCTGCCTGCTGATTCAGGAGAGGGCTATCATCCAAGCTAAATTCAAAAGTCAAGGGTGCTCCCAATTGAAATGTTCTTCCCAAAACACCCAAAGATAATTGCCAAATGGCCAATAATGTCCAGATGAGTGTGAAATATGCAATTTAATTGTTTTTAGTATTGTACATGAAGACATCACCATATTAGAATCTATGAAACAACTTAACTGTTTCTTTGTATACCTATGTGATAACCTTTGAGAAAAGCATACAAATGGTATCCCGACTGTATCAAGTCACATGCTACCAGTGCTTTTAAAACATATGCTAGTTTTAAAACATTCAAGAATTCGAGACAACATTGGAGTCAACTAAAACCTTGAGGATTTTCCCATTTCTGCAGTTCCTAGCCCACTAACATGCTTCCACAGACATTTAATATCTTCCCTTCAATTCTCAATAGATCAAGAACAGTCATACTAGTGATGAGAATAGAGGTACTGCTTCAGCCTAAGAAAGTCTTGAGTGATACATCTCACACAGCTGTGTGTGATTTGGCAGCTGAATTCCCAAGGTTAATTTCTTAAAACATCTGCAGAAAAGACTATTTTTAAATATTCCAATTACAGCAAACAAATCCAAGGAAATTTATAATTTATTTCTTTTTCATTCCCTGAGACAAGTGGCTCCAACACAATTTGATTATTGAAAATCCACCTGTTCTTTCAGCCCAAAGAAAGCAAGTTATAATTGGTTTATATATGCAGATTAAAGATTTCCATAATATTTAATAAAAATCTTACTTACATGGACTTTGAATGTCAAAATTATTGTTTTTACTCATCCTAATGAGTTCTTCTGGCTGTCTGTCATGAAAAAAGAAATGAGTTGTTAAATACATCTAGTGCATTAACAATGACCATTACATACAACTTCGACATTTTAAAGTGAAAAAACCACCCAAACTTAGAAAATTAAAAATGGGATATTATAATTCAGCTATTATTGTGAGAGATAGGGGTTTGGAAAGCAGGATGTAAGTGTTCAGAAAAAATATTCCCAGACCAATGATCCAAGGACAACCAAGGAAGTGGTGGTGACTCCTGCTCAAGTAAAGATTGTATTAACATGAGGAACTTGAAAGAAATAAATTCACCAGGTAAGATAGTGACGTAACTATGAAGATACTCTCCATTGTTTGGAGAAAATCCAGGATCCTGGCCTAGACAAAGAAAACCTGATCTAAGATAAAAAATTAATAAAAATGGTGAGGAATCCAAAACATTGACATGCATACGGGGGAATTTACACCTTTTAGAAGTATGTGTTTTACATTCTGACATGGAGAGTAATTTATGTGGAAACACTGACTTAACCCACGTTTCTTTCAAACGTCAATGCCCCTAAGAATTAGATCCCCAAGATACATCAACACGGATGTACTGGGAGCCAGCTTTTACTGCATGCCATACCATGCATCCTAGGCCACCTTGGAAAAAATAAAAAACCCACCAAAACGTTTCTTCACCACAGCACTAAGATGATTATTGTTTCTCTAGTGCAAAGCAGAGCCCTTTGAGAAACGTATCTGCAGATCTTTGACTTGCCTTCTCTTAGGAAGCTGAAGAAAGCATTAGGTAAGTTTCGCAAAACAAGAATCATGGGCGATTGCCTGCAGATCCATGCTTGACCTCACAGGTAGGCGGACAACTTCCTTCACACACGCCGAAGTGAGCAAGGAGGCAGCCAATAACAAATCCAACGTCCAAACCAGAAGCCTGACCAACTCGGAGCTACCGGTGTTTTGGTATTTACAGACGACTGCCAGGTACAGGCTTCAGGAACAAACTTCAGGCTAATTCATACTATTGCAACTAAAGTACTGCTGCCATTTTACTGGAGTTTTAGGAAAGAAGTTGTATTGAGAAAGAAAAAAAAGGTAGGCAGAAGTCTCGGGCAAAAGGCAACTGCTCTACGCCATTGTACTTTGTTAAAGGGAACCGGAGTGGTTGTACACAGAAGACCTTTGCCAGAAAATGATCTAAAAGGAAAACAAGCATAAAATAAACAATGCCACAACCAAATGAAATCAAGAGGCTCTGAAGACCACAAACCGCACCGACAGTCAGATGAAATAATTGGTTCCAGTTTTCCCAGAAACACACTTCCCTCTTTCTAACTTACAAAAGATACTCCCAGGTACGGGTGTGGGGAGGGAGCAGCAGACAAGCACCCAGCTCACACACTCCACTTCTCCTCCGGATTGCCCAAGAACGGGTACTGACAGTTTCACAGCCCTCAATCTACTAGGGTAATACAACAAAAACAATCTATATATGACCACGCAAGACCAGATTTTCACCTCCGTGTGCTGTAAAAAGCCCTACCAGGTGGAGAAAGCACATACGCGCCTGGAAACAAGCACCTTCCCACCTTTCCCTGGCTCCAGCAAAGCAGAAAAAAAAGTCGCTATCCTTCCCCCCACACACACACTTTTCTCAAACTCTTTCAGCGAAGTGAACCCCGGAATTCAAATTTGCAAGTTAAAAGAAATGCCAGAACAACCATTGAGACTCCATGCATAAATGCTACAGGGCTTTCTGCAGAGGAACAAAGCAATTCCTTATCAGTCTATTTGCAAGACAGGAACACATTATCACCCAGTGTTTATAAAAACCGAAGTGTAAGTAAAATGTATGTACTTTGCCTAAATAGGCTAAAAAATAAAAAAATTCCCAGAGTGGTACTTAGGTTTTACTAAGTTCTATAACTCTTTACTGGTCCAGAACATAAGGTGGTTTTAAACGAAGTTTGTTTTTTGGGTTTTTTTTTGTTTGGTTTTTTTTTTTTTTTTTTTAAATTAGAGGATGGAAAAAAAACCCCAAACCCAAGAACCACGACTCCAAGAGGCAAGGATTCAGGTATACGTTTTCTCTAGCATAGGAACAAAGGCTTCACGGAACCCTCCCAGATCCGGTCCGTTCGTGCTGGACTTCACGGATGACAGGGTCTCCAGCTCATCTCGCAGTTTATAACACGATGCCATGCCCTGAGCGAACTCACCCCTCAGCACCCACCACCCGGGTGGGAGCAGGAGAACTCCCGACACGCTTCGAGCAATTCCAACTGATTACGATTCAGGTGATCGCTTAACTATCCGAGTCTGACCGGGGTTCAACCGCGAAACCCGATGGGAAGGCACGGCGGCCATGGCAGTGCTTGCGGCAAGAGGCGCG